AAATTAGTAGACCAGGAACCAAACAACATTTAGTGTTTTAGGGAAGTGATATTTTAGTGACCCATGGAGATGATCAGGAGAGCAGAGTCTGCACTTGCTGGGGTGGCCGGTGCAGAATGCTCTCTGGATCTTTATATTCGTTGTCTGGATTCATCACAGCTGCATACACCTCACCATAGGCTCTGCAGACCAGTTCCGTAGATTGTTTCACAATCTGTTCTCTGTTGACAAACAAACAAAATATGAACATGTCACCTGAAAATACTAAGAATTGCTAAGAAAGCTTCCCATCTGAATTAATGCATTACATTTTCATACTTATCAAATGACTGCTGTTTAAAAATTACTGTAAGCCAGATGCCCATGACTCACATCTTTAGCTAGGATTACAGGAAGCTGAGATCTGAGCATTGAAATTCAAAGCCAGCTTGGGCAGGAAAGGCCATGAAACTCTTATCTCCAATTAACCATCAAAAAACTGGAAGTAGAACTGTGGCTCAAGTGGGAGAGTGCTAAATAGCTCAAAGACAGAGTCTAGGCCCTGAGTTCAAGCCCCAAAATTTGGCACGATACAAAACAAAAAAGAAATCATTGCACAATTATACAAGTTACTTTTTGATTGTGGGATGAAAGACATCTTAAAAATATTTATCACTTTACTAAAGTCTTCCTAATTGCTAAAGTCTTCCTTATTGCTAGGTCCCAAGATAGCAGGGACAATGTTTTGTTTGTTGCTATGTCCTTATGGTTAGAACAGTGCCTGGCATATATGGATACTCCTTTACTTAGAATGGGTTCATGCTCTGATAAACCCATTGGAATGTGAACACACTGGAAATCAAAGATGTATTTACTACATTTAAGCTAACAAACACAGTAACTTAGACACTGGATTAGCTGTAAATATGTTCAAACAATTAACATTAGCCTATAGTTGGATAAGTCATCTAATACAAAGTCTATTCTGTAAGTAATGTTGCCCAATATCATTCTCCCTTCAAAGTCACCCCCAATGACTTAGCTTTCTTAGCTTTTTCATGCTTGGCCCAACCTCCTAACAGTTCCACCATCTCCAGATAAAACCACAGGCTGGCAACCCAGTCATTTGTGTCTTAGGGGGTATTTACAATTCAAACCCTAGTAAGCTCCTAGGATAACCACTACATTTCCTAGATTTCTTTTAATCTCTCCCTGGTACTGGGCTAAAATATGAGTCTTGTGATAGAACAGATTGCAGTATTCTCATAAATATACATCTCTACAAAAAACACACATGAAAAAGAATAATGTAGTGTAGCAAATGCTTTAAAACTATCCAGCTAGAAAAATACTGGGCTCATTAAATCTGCAACAATTCTCACTATGTTGCCATGGTACTTACTTCCTGCCATTCCCCAGACACTTGTACTATTCACGTATCACTACATTGAGTTCTGAGAACGCTGACATTCACTTTCTGATTCCGACAATAGCTAAATTAAGAATGTGTCTTTTAAGCTTTTGTCTTGAGCTTACTTTCCTTGGAGTGTTTCCTATTTCTGCAAAGGGCATGCATAACCAAATCTTACCACCTCAGTCAGGGGTCTAATGACTATTGTCCATCCAGAGGACATAAGAAAATTTTCACTCAGTCTTCCTCTTCCCCAGCTATTTCTACATCCATGATAAGCACTGCTGTTAGATAAGCCTTCTGAAGCAGAATAGTTACTACGTCTTGTCTTGCTGTTACTTGGGCTCTTCGATAAACTTCGGTGGAAGTCAGAACTCCTTCCTCTCATACTCTGCATTGGTGTAGCCACTCCAGTCCAAAGTAGCTCATTCTTCCTCTTGGCTCTGTGCTTAATAAGACCAGCATCTTTGCTGTCAATCCTCCATTTGCCAACTTAAAAAACCCTTGCCACTTTAACGTTCTGCAAAGATGTACTTTTGCATCTATGAAACCTCTGGTCTTAAAATAGATAAATACTCCTTTTTGGAAGGTCCACAATACTTTTTCTGTCCCTCTCTTATACCATTTGCCATTCCTTATCTACATTAAAGCTTGTACATTTCCTTAGACACACACTCCAATTTTTCTGTGTTGAGGGAGGAGGTAGTTCTGCATCAAATGCATGTAACAAGTGAAATAGAACCTAACTTGAAGAATCAAAATGTACTTTCGTAAGTATTTATAATTTAAGAAAGATATAAAGTTTAATTCTTAGCTATCCCATAAGACTTTATGTAATTTGATATTGCTCACTTTCATGTGCCCCTCAAAATAGTATATTTGGAGTATTCACTGAAAGCTTGAAGTAGACCAAGAGACTTTTATAAATTTAAGGAGTCCTATTCTGGGCCCATTGGCTGGCTTGTTCTTCTTCAAGTCCTGAGTTATTGGCTATTTCAGGTTGAGCTCTTGTGTCATGTAGTGACTGGCTGAGCAGACCAGCATAATAGTAGAGTGGCAATAACAATTGTTCATTGTTGTCATACAAGTCATCATACAAGTCAATGCAATGAAGTCACCAAGAAGAGAATATATTCTTTAGGTTGTTTTCCTATAAACTATGTGGGTGATTTATATAAACATTTATATTGAAATGGATCTCATTTTATCTGTATATATATATATATA